TGTGGTCAGTTTCTTCAAAGACACGCCTGTGCTATGTGTTCCTCCTTATTTATACAGAACTGGTCATGAAATAGCAGCAGATCCCAGCATGCACTGCAGTCTTCATGAAATCAGTTCATCTGAAATTCTGTAATGGATGGAGAACATCTTTGCGTTGCTTTTTTTATTTTTTTGATAGGAAGAATAGTCTCTGTGTTAAATGCATCAGAGTCCCAGTTCATTCAAGGATGTATCCCAAATGTAGGTTTTATGTAAAAGTAAAATCTCTTTTCTCTGTCTTTATCCTCCTTGTATTACAGTGCTTGAAGTAGAAATAAATCCTGTTTTCCTGCTACTGAAGGAACAACAATGGAGTGAAATTCTGTCTGTAGAACTCATTTGCACACCTATGTTACTCTGAACTGACTGTTTAGTAAACTAACCAGCAAGCTTGGCCTACAAGTGCTGCTCCTAATTCTCACAGTCCCTGCTTTTCTCATACTTGTAGCCATACTTAGCTGTTACGATGCCACGCTGTATAGCTTGGAAAGATCTTGAACTAGTTGCACAGCTAGGAAAACAGAACTCCTTTAGGCAGAAGTGGTAACTGAACACCAACCTCTTACTTGACAAAATACCAGCTTTGCCAAACAACCTTTTCAAAGGAATGTGTCACACAAGATATGACTGCAAATCATGTTTTGCCTGGTAGCAGCAAGAGACTTCATAAATATCAATGAACCTGCTTTGATGCCATGAGAACTGGTCCTTTGGCTAAAATAATTTTTCTTGTGTGTTCGACCCCTTGACAAGTTCTGGGTTTGGTCTTTACAGACTGCTCCACAGGACTTCTACAGAATTCATAAGGTTATCTGTAACCTCTGTTTCTTCCTCTTCCCAGGTGGTCCTGGTACTGAGATGGAGAGAAGACAACTCAAATAGCCCAGTGGTGCTATTATCTTTAATACTTGTGTCAGCATGAATCTTGGTGTTTTTCTTCTTTGTATTTGCATTTACATGCTTGTTGGGCTGGAGCGCTTGCTTCTGTTGTATGTACACATGGTCCTCTCAGCTTGCATTTGTACTGTTGAAACTTAGGATGAAAGCTTTGTGCCAGGGTAGTGTATGCCATAAAATGGTGGTTAAGGGGTTTCCTTGAAATCTATTCACATTTCAAATAGATTTATATATAAGGGGGGCAGTTTGAACACATTGCAAACCCCTAAAGCCTTAGTGAATCCTGAATTTGGCCATCTCAACTATTTATAGAACACTCTGTGCCTATTCTAAATATATTTTCCTCAAGGGGACCTCATCTCAATCCCCTGCTCCACAGCTTCATTTGGATCAGCAATGCTGCTATAATCTGTTAGCAAAAATTCCTTCTCTAGCTCTGTGGCAGAGCTGCAGGTGTTGCTGATCTGGGCCTTAAAGGGGAAATTCTGTGCTAAGCAGAGCTTAAAGCTTTAAACTGTAGCCAGCCAGCTATAGAAACATTCAGGATACATTGGGTCATTTACTGTAGCCATTGCCTGATTATTTTTTAATATTCCTCCTCTACTGGTAGGTCTAGAGTTCTGGAGAGGGGTAATACAAGTGACTCAATTGGGAGTGTGTGGCACCTTTCCCTTTCAGGAGTCTTCAACCTTGCAAACTAGGCTTAATGGTGAGCACACAAAATGTTTTCTTTCTATAGGATGTGTGAAGAGTGTTCTGTGGCCAGAAAGCATTTCTTATTGCAAGGATGCTTGAAACTGGTGTTTTCTTTCTCTGCTATAGGGAAGAGAAGTATCTCTTCTGTTGGAGTACCTCCATGACAGTGCTTAGAGAGCTGTGCCTCTGACTGTACATGATGGTTCTTCCTGAAATGTTTCCTACCCACCAGGAGTGAAAGTCTCCTCTTTTCTAGCTGGCATTTTATAACCCCTCTGGCAGTAGAGCCAGCTATGCAGGCTTTACCCAGTATAAGCTTTGGTTTGTGTTAGTGAAGGCAGGAGTGCTGTAAGATGGTATAGAACTGTCATTGCAGGAATACCTGCTGTCTTGTCTGGCTTTGGAGATCGATCATACATGTTCACTGTTGTTTTCCAGTCAGATTAATATGGGGCATTTAGAAAGCAGGGTTTGAGTTCCACTTGCTGTTGATTGAATGGGGTCAGTCTGTCTACAATATTGCTCACACATAAGGACAGAGGTTTCTTCAGGCCAAGGAGAGCAACTCATCCCACAGTAGATTCTGTAGTGGGGAATCTCTATCTTTTAGAAAAATCATAATATTTTCTTTTTCAGTCAAATGCTCTGTCTGTATCATAGAATAGAAGTTTTGATGCAAAAGATATGCTTCACTGGACATTTTTCATCCTTCAAGTTTAAAAATATTTAGGAAAATACACTGTTTATTGAATTCTGTAGGTTTGAATGGTTTCTTCTGTAGGATAGTTACATTCTATTTGCATCTCTCAGGAACACCTGCAGGTGTGCATGACAGATGCTGCAGATCACCATCATGAGTGGAAAATTTTGGGTCAATGTAGAGGCAAGATGGGCTATCAGGATCCTACATATCCTTGGTAGCTATGCTGCCCCACAGTAAGGATTGGTACTGACCTATATGCTCGAAGGAAAGTAGTTGCTCCTTGTTCCGATAATGTGCTTGACCTAGATTGTACTTCATGGGTCTTGGATGCAACTTACAACTCAGGTGTAAAGCACCAAGGCTGCTTACACTGGTTCAAGGGCAGGATTTGGAAGCAGTGTGTCAGTAGTGTCTCCAGAAGTCATGTCACTTTAGGTACTGGTTAGGAATCCTTTTCTGGGTACAATGAAGGAGAAAGTACCACTTACTTGGCCTGAGGGATGGAGAACCCTGTGCAAGGTTTTTCCACTCCATGATCAGGGTAATGTAGCTCACTGTCTATGTAAGCATCAGAAAATGTTTTTGAGGTTGACAAAAGCTTTCCTTGGTTATTACCCTTTAAGGTTGAATGGGGCAGCATGTGGCCAGATCACAGAAAGGTGTATTAGCTCAGGGCTTAGCAGGAAGAGTTTCTTAGCACTCCTCCAGAGCTGTTACCTTCTTTTGCAGCCTCTGGAGCCACATGAAATGGAAAGGGTTATGTACTTGCCTGCCTGGCAGGAATTTAATCCCTGCTCAATGCAGCAAAATGAACTGGGTTCAGTACTCTTGGAAGCAAAGAAATAGATAAAGTGTATTTTGCAAGGAATTTCACATGGGGATTGCATGGTTACCCTGAATATTGCCCCAAGACATGTTCCCCTTCGCACACTGGCCTCTTCCTACAGTCTCCTTGGCTATTCCAAGGAATTAGTGTCAGCGTAGTTTTAGATTTTGCTCTGGTCACTGCTTACCTGTGTGCATGCAGATAGCATTTCCTTGCCCCTGTCCTAGCATGCAGGAGTGGAAAGATGAGTCTCTGAAATCACTGCAGTGCTACTCAGCCTAGTGCAACACTCCATGCCTAGGGGTGCTGCTGCTGCACTCTGCTAGGGAGACCTGGTCAGTTCAGACAGTATCTGTGATCCCATGGGGATGCATTAATGCAGGAAAGGTTTTGCATTAATGGAGCTATGCCAAGATGGGTCCTCAGACTCTAGTGCTGATCATTTGTGTTAGTGTTTCAGTAAAAAAATACCCCTAAAGTGTCTGTCAGTGGTTCCTGGGCTGACAGTGTGATTGGCAGTTTTCTGGTGCACCTCGTCATGTGTCTGGCTAGTTATTCCCACTGATGCCTCCCTAAGACTGGCTTCCTTGTAATGGAAGGTCTCCATTTAACCACTCTTGAAATAAACAAACTATAGTGCCTTTAGAAAGGTAGAGTATGTAATGTGTGCCAACAAAAAATCTATCGTTTGTGCTTGGAAGAAATAATGATATATCCCTTTTACAGTGCTTGTAAGAGATTCAGCGTCTCCATTCATAGTCACTGGCCTTGATTCCCTCATGGCCTAGGTGTGTTGTCTGAACTGAGGCAGCGAAAGAATCAAGAGCATTTAACCACAAGACAAACACAGCTCAGAATAGCAGAATCAGACTGTAGAGCAGCTGAAGTGAAAAGCTCAATTTTAAGACTAATTTGAACATTGAATCAGGTGCTAATACATCACCTACTGTGTGGAGTCTCTTCTCAGTCTGCTGTTCATGTTCTGTGAGCAGAGTATAGTGGTATATATAGAACACAGCGAAAAAACGGCTTTGTACAACTAGTGTGGGCAGTGTAGGTGAAGAGAGGTGTCTGATTTTGGCGACAAAAATAGAAATCTGTCTTCATGTCTGTGCTCTGGGGAGCTGATCAGATATTTTATGGCATGATACCGTATTACAGCTTGAAGAACCAGTTTCAGAGCTGGTTTCTGTAATTGCCTGATAGTTTAACCTGTCTCCATTTCCCCCTAAGAGGAGGACATACCGCCTTCATTCATATCGCCTTGTTCATCAGTAAACGTAAAGCAAATTGTAAAATCAGACCTGCTTGACCTAACATTTGTAGCAATTCATTTGTTCATGCACAGACCAACCCTGTGATGCCAGTCTAGTTTTTTTCTTATACCAGAGTGGAATAAGATCATGGTGTCGGTTAATATTCTCTCTTTTTTTTTTTTTTTTTTAAAAGTGTTGAGGAAGCATTTGGATACCGTGGAAATGAATGACAATACAGTGAAAAACTGGTTTAGAAAGTATTTAGGAAATTAAAGTTAGTTCTGGAAGTAGCTTTGCTGTATTTTACCAGATGCTTCTACTTTTTGCCATTGTTCCCAGTATGATGTTTAGGATGGACTTCACCTGTACCCAGGAATGCAGGGGTGGCCCTGCCTTGAGTCAGGTGCGACTAAAGGTTGCCTGAGTGCTGGGCGTGATGTACGTTTGTGTCACACAAACAGTGATGGATACTTGTGGTTGCTTTTTTATCTGCTGAGTGTGGGATGGGTTTTAATCCTGGTTAAATCCTGTATCCCAGATCTGTTTGCCTTCTCTTGAAAGAACTTCCCTTTCTTTTACAGGCATGGTTCAGAAACTCGACCAGAAGCTGCCTGTAGCCAATGAGTACCTGCTGCTTTCAGGAGGTGTGCGGGAAGGTGTGGTGGACATTGATCTCGATGAGCTGAATGTTTATGCACGAGGCACAGACTATGACATGGACTTCACCCTGCTTGTGCCTGCACTGAAGCTGCATGACCGCAACCAACCAGTCACGCTGGACATGCGCCACTCGGCTTTGTGCCACTCCTGGCTGAGCCTGCGTCTGTTTGATGAAGGAACTATCAGCAAATGGAAGGACTGCTGCACGATAGTGGACCATATCAATGGAGCTACCAATTATTTCTTCTCCCCAACAAAAGTCGCAGACTGGTTCTATGACTCCATTAGCATTGTCCTCTCTGAGATCCAGAAAAAGCCCCAACGGGGGATGCCAAAGGTGGAGAAGGTAGAAAAGAATGGGACTATCATATCCATCATTTTGGGAGTGGGCAGCAGCCGCATGCTGTACGACATTGTCCCTGTGGTGTCCTTCAAAGGCTGGCCAGCTGTGGCCCAGAGCTGGCTGATGGAGAACCACTTCTGGGATGGGAAGATCACAGAGGAGGAAGTCATAAGTGGTTTTTACTTAGTGCCTGCATGTTCATACAAGGGGAAGAAGGACAATGAATGGAGGCTTTCATTTGCCAGAAGTGAAGTGCAGCTGAAAAAGTGCATCTCCAGCAGCCTCATGCAAGCCTATCAGGCCTGCAAAGCTATCATCATCAAATTGCTGTCCCGCCCCAAAGCCATTAGTCCATATCACTTGAGGAGCATGATGCTGTGGGCTTGTGACAGACTACCAGCCAGCTACTTAGCCCAAGAGGATTACGCAGCCCATTTCCTCCTGGGTCTCATTGATGATCTCCAGCACTGCTTGGTCAACAAGATGTGCCCTAATTATTTCATCCCCCAGTGTAATATGCTGGAGCACCTCTCTGAAGAAACAGTCATGCTGCATGCACGGAAGCTGTCCTCGGTCCGCTCAGACCCTGCGGAACACCTTCGAACTGCCATTGAACATGTCAAAGCAGCCAACCGGTTAACGCTAGAGCTCCAACGGAGGGGCAGCACCACCAGCATCCCCTCCCCGCAGTCAGATGGAGGGGACATCAACCAGCCTGATGACCGATTAGCCAAAAAGTTGCAACAGCTAGTGACTGAGAACCCCGGGAAGTCCATCTCTGTCTTCATTAACCCAGACGATGTCACAAGGCCCCACTTCAGAATTGATGATAAATTTTTCTGAGCTTTCATCAATGTTTCCTGGGATTTTTTTTATTCTTTTTTTTTTTTTTTTCCATTTTTAGAAACTCTTGCAGTGTGCAGATTTTTTCCATTTGGTTTTCCTTGATGACTTAGTCTCTTGTTTTTTACATATCCAGCGTAGATTGGATCTGTTGAGAACAATCTGAATAAATTATAATTCCTGGTTCTGCAGGGCGGTGCAGATTTTGAAACAGTATATTACTATTTCATATGCTGCTTTGATTTTTTTCACCCACCCAGCCCTATTGTCTGTGAGTAGTTTCTGAAGGAGAACATGCACCGTAAACACACATGCCACAGTGTAATGTAAATTTTTTTCCAAGCTTCCATAATTTATGTACTTTGTTGGGCCTGGGGAAGGGGCAATTCACCTTCCATTGCTTCGGAAATTCACTTTTTTCTCATGAGCTTCCATCACCCTAAAGAAATAAGGAGAGACTCTGGGTTGGAAAGCACTACTGGTAGTTTCACGAGGCCAAATCTGCTGGGCTGAAACCCAGTTCATCTATTCTTCACACTTCTCACACTAGGGGAGAAAGTTGACTTTAAAGATGATGATGCAGCTTTTGCGGGGATGAGTTTTTCTGTTTTGATCTACTTTTTGAATGTAATTGTTCATAATTGGACCTTGTACAGTCCAGAGGGTTGTTTCTGCTGCTTTTCCATGCAAAATAAGGTTATGGAATGTTAGTTTTAGTGTGTAATTATTCAAAGCCTTATTTAAATTCTATTAAAGAACATACCATTATAAATGTTAATTGCACTAATGAAATCTCTGCCATTACCTCAGTCCCACTGTTTGTGTTTCTTTCATGAATTAGCATCTGTTACTAGGTCTCAGTATTGCAGATTGCTTGAGGCCCCTCAGGTCTCATGGTTTCAGGTGATTTCTTGATTGTCTTTTTGTAAAAGGCTCTTCCTTGTTAGCCCTGCTATGTGTGAGAAGTCAGATTTTGCATTGGCATATTTCTTTGGATGTGTATTGTGTGTTGCAGTGCATATTGCATTAATATGTATTGCATGTTGTTGAAACAGGTTTGCCATTAGATAAGGATGTGATGCTAAAGCAGTGGTATGTGCAAAGTGAATGAACCAGACGTCGAGCAAAGGAGCTACCTTGCTTCTCTAATGCATGTGTTAGGCCTGATCCTTTATGGCAGTTACCATTCCCTTGACTCCTGTGGACTTCCTGACTTGCCCTGGGACGTGTGAGATCTTGCTTTGGTCTCAAGTTCAGAAAAGTTGTGTTCGTGTGTAAACTTGTGGTGCAAGAGTAGCCTTGAAAAACACATACACCTTCCTCTTGTGTGTAGGATAAGATGTATGGTAACAAGGGTTAGTCTGAGCCAAAAAGAATTCCAAGAGTTCAAGGATAGAGTTACCTTTTGTGTCTGGCTGGCCAGTGACTGATATTTAGGCCTTAAATCAGCAATTTGGGCTTACTGATTATCCCAGAGAAGCTGTTCTGATCTAAACTTGATGCATGTTTTAAAATGTGTTTATTAGAGCAGGTTGAAGTATTTTTTAAATATTTGACAGACAAATGAGATGCGTATCTAGTAAATTCTAATGGATGAAAATTGTGTATGAAAAATGTGTCACTTTTTTAGCCCAGCCTTTCAGGTAGAGAAACCAGGCTGGTGGAGCAACACACCAGCAGCTTTGGAAACTGCTTCATTAGATGGCAGGGAGATTTCAATACCTGATCTAGTACCCAAGTCAAGTCTTAAACTGAAATTTTTGGCATCTCCATCTCTTGGGCATATTTGAAAACTTCACCCCATTGCTGTAGCCAGGATCTTCACATTTACCTGAATTTACTGGTACACACTTCCATGAGCCTGAAGAAGCTCTCAGAAGTTGCTGGCTAGATGGTGTGGATAAGGATTTAACTTTAAAGCACAATTGGCTAGTGATCATGAGCCCCGGTGCAGCTGTGGTTATGGTCCGGGGAAGGACATGTATTGACTTCAGTGGAACCAGAACTGGGTCCTACCAGTGTGGCTGTTGCCAAAGATGAGTCTCCATTTAAGCCCATGTATCTGCCAAGGAAGGCAGAAGAACGGACTGGGAATCCTCTCCAGAAGAGAAAATGCAGATTCATTGAAATGGTCTTTTCCCCAGTCTCTGTGACTTCTGTTTGTTGGAAAAAGAGTCTGGGCTACAGGATGAAGTTTCCCATCACTGCCTGAGAGAGATCTGCTCAGCACAAAGCAGCAGTATCCTGACAGGCAGAGTACTGTCCCGTGAGTCCCACTGTTTACTGGTGCTCTTGAGTTACGCAGAAACACAGCCTTCCTCATGCCAATTCAACACCCTGATGACCAGCAGTTTGGCTAGCCCATGTCAAGCTCTGGTGTGTGCTCCTTTTTTTTGGTTTCAATTAAAAAACATTTTTGAAAAGTATCCATTTTGTTCTTCCTGCATTATGAGGAAAATGTGTGTGTTGGGGTTTTTTGTGGGGAGAGGAGCCTTGGCTTTCTACTGGATTGGAAAGCAATTTCCCAGGTAGGTCTGAGAGAATGTTATATCCTCTGCCTGAACCATCTGTCTTCCAAAGAGGCAGAATGCTAATCTTCAGTAGGTTTTGAATCTCAGTCTAGTATCTGCTCCTTTCCATATACTATAGCTCAACTTAATGAAGCAGGTTGCCAGCCCAGAGAGGTGATGTGTGCTTTGTATCTTAGAGAACACCGAGGCCCGTATTTTCTTCCTATCCTATTGTCCTCTTTTGCCTTTGAGTATATGCTGAGACAGACTTGCAAAATGCATAGGTCTCTATGTGGGATTTCAAAGTAGTGAGTAGGTTTAGATATCAATGACCTATTATTATTCACTACCCCCTGCAAGTTTCAAGGGGACCACAGTGCTTTTCCAAGTAGGGAGCTCTTGAAAGTTCTTCACAAAAACGCTTTAGAGCACCCAACCCCATGGGGTTAAAGACTTGGCCAATGACAAACACTACAGTAAAAGGGGATTTGCTTTAAACTAGAAAAGTAGTCATCTTCCCTACTGACATCAAAGGGAGACAAGTCAGTGCTGTGAGCCTATGTCTCAATGGGAGCTTCAGTTCTGCACCCATGTTATGGGGGATAAGATTTTATTTTGCTTTCGCCTGTTAGCTATGCCCTGTAGGCAGGGGATACTGCAAAGGACTGGGACAGTTAGTGAGGGGCTGGCTGCATGTGTAAGAATATTTGGAGGTCTCTTTTATTTGTCTGCATATTGCTGCCTTCTACAGTGTTAAAAGGGAAGGGAGTCCCAGCAAAGAGCGTCTGGCCTTGAGGTGTCAGAAAGCTGGGGAGGAAGAAAAAGTGCCCTTCAGAGGCTTCACTTCCATTTCTTAGTGTGAGCCTCTTTGGACATCCTGTCTGTGGTCCTACTCTTGGGACAAGCTTTTGCCTTTTTCCATAAGACTTCTTGCCATTGGCACAGTGAGAGGACCAACTAATTTGCCTGATTCCAGTTGTTGTAACTTCTTCTGGGATACCCTGAAGAATGTGTCACTTCTTCAGGGGGACACCAGAGCTGACAAAAGCACCAGCCAGTGGGGGGTTATTCTCTGTGTTATGTTGAGGGAGTACTCAAATTAGAGCAGAAGGGAACAACAGCCCAAGAGCTTTGTGATAACCTGCAATCTCTGCTCCTTCAAGCATGTTATGTGAAACCTCAGTCACTTCTGGCTGGCTGTCATATATCTGTTTCTCTGTTTTCCAGTACTCTAGCCTGGAGAAATGTTTGTGCTCTAACCAGTAAACCACAGCTGAGCATAAGAGTCACTCTGCAGGAGATTCAGCAAAATACCAGCAGGACTTTAACCATCCACTGTCCAAAATAGAAGCCAGTCTCCAAAAGCTGTTGAAAGACCTTTTTTTTAAGAGTTTTGTTTTTTCTGTTGTCCTTTTGTCACTGTGAAATAGCTCTAATTTTTATCTAAATTCTTGGACTTCCCTTGATTGCATTGTTCCAGTAGAGAGCAGCCTTGTTTTGGTATCTATGGTGTTTCTGGGCTCAACAGGGCCATCCAAGCTCTGCCCTTCCACTTCTTGGCCTTCTCATGGAGGATATAGGATGCTGTGACACAGGCTGTGTGTGCTACAAATTGCCAGGTTGATGACTGAAACAGGCATGAAAAAGACAATAGTCACTCTTGGCGTGAGATGTGCCTTCAGCTCAACTTCTGTTGGACAGTGGACCATATGAAATGATCCCCAAACTCTCCCTGAGGACGCTGTGCTCTAAAACAAGTACAGGGTGGCTGGCTTCATGCAGGATGCTGTCCTGGTGTGAAACATCCACCAGTAGCTAGTGGTCTCCAAACAGTTGTTTCAATTTTCTGGTAAATCTGGGGATACAGGGAAAAATGACTACTTATAAGACTTAGAAGGCCAGAGATTCCTGAAGGTCGCGTTGCTTTGCTCTCCAGAGGCTGTGGCTGGTACTTCTACCTGGCTTCACTCCACTTCAGCCTCTGAAAACATTTCTGTAAAGAAGGTTTATTTAGGTGTCCCACCAATTTGCTTGCTGTATAGTGATGAATGCTCATGGCAGCTGGGTAATCAGACCAAAAGGGCCCAGGAGGTGGTGGCTGGGGCTGGAAGGTCACAGGGCAGAGCCCAAATCCCACTAAAGTCCTTTGGGACTTGAAAATGTGCATGAAACAAAGTGTGTGCACTTTGCTGGATCAAGCTGATTGTGATCAGACTAAAAGTAAGCAGACATCTGTCATATTTTATTAACCCATGCATAATACAAGCAACCATGCATAATGCAAGTAAATGTGGCAGAGGGAAGGAAGGAAGATAGACTTTGCTAACAATTATTTCTCTTCTTTTTTTCTTTCCTGAAGAAAAAGGTTCTTCATAGTTGGTGCCTAGAATTGCTTAAAAACATCCATATGTCCCTTTTTGCAGGTTTGCTGGATATGTATTGCCACATTGTTATGTGTTAAAGTGCATGTGTTCAAAAGGTCACTGGGCA